AAAAAAAAAAAAACCAAGGGCAATAAACAAAAGGCCCCAATAGCCCCCGGAGAGGCAGTGCCCCTCTTGCACCCTGCTTTTCCTGGCATGATGACCAGGACCCCTCGGGGTGGCAGAGGGGACAAGGACACGGTGCCAATGGAGGGCTGTGTGGGGAGGTGACCATGGAGACGGAGGCCACCTCAGTCCAGGGAGGGCCAGGCCGTGGTGACACTCATGGCATCGCGTGGAGCCATCGTGAGCGAGGCCGGCCTGCTGGCAGAGGCTCCCCGGAGCTGAGGGAAAGGCGAAGGGCACTCGGTGACCAAAAACCACCGTGTTTCTCATGGAAGCTCCCCATTTCCAGAGCCCTGGCAGAGGGAAGGGCGGTGCGGGCCTCGCGCTCGCTTCGGCTGTATCAGGCAGATCCAAATTAAACAGACGTTTAGAGGGTACTAACAATGATGTCTTCATTCGGCACCGTGATCGCTGCGGCGGCTTTAGCCCCGTGTTTGCTCACGGAATGATGTGCCAAGGCCTCGTCCTTCCAGCGCTCCCAGCAGCCCCTGGAAGCGGGACACGGGCCTGCGGGAGGTCTTGGAAAGGGCCATGGGGCCAGCAGAGCGGAGTGGTGGCCAGTGCTGGCCCCGGCGAGGACGTGTGCCCTCCTTGGGTGACCGAACATGGAGGCTGGGACACACGAGGAGGATTCTGCGTTCCAGAACCAGGGGCTGATGCTTTTGGTGTCAGGATGAACCAGGAGATTCTCACTTATCAAGCACGAAAGCCTTGTAGGAGCTGGTAGAAATCTTACTCTTTATGCGGCACATGAAGAAAGGGCAGCTGGGGACAGAAAGCAAGAGATACCTCCAAATGAACGCCACGGCCAGCGGACTTAATGTCAGAACGCAACTCATGCAAGACGGCAGACTTAGCTCCACACTGAGACATACCCGGCTGTAAATCACTTCTGGACAAGTCTGGGGAGGGGTTAGGTGGCCTCGCACTGTGGCCATCACCCCAGGCACACGGAAAGCCAGGACCTCTTTGCTCAGTGCCCAAGTGGTTGCACGTTGCCACAAACAACTTGGCCACAAGTTATGGTTACAAGCACATGTAGGAAACGCATTTGTGGACACAGAGGAGATGTACAGATGGCACATCAGCCTTGGGACCGACCCTTGAGAGCCTGGTGCCGTGACTCTCACAAACAGCAAGTAAAAGTTGCTAACATCTTTAGGAAGAACCAGCCCAACAATCTATCCGTTGCCTATTCTTTTCATTTAACCGCTGCGCTGAACCCCAATGGGATTTTTCGGTTTTGTTTTAATGGCAAACCAAGAATTTGCAGATCCTCCCCGTGGCGAAGTTACTTTCAAGTCAGTGAAAGTTCTTGGCCCATGATTAAAAGTCTTTGCCAATTAGCACTCAACAACTTCAATTCATTTTTCCCCCGGTTCAAGATGAGTAGGAACCTAATAAGGCTGCGATAAAAGGGCAAAAGGCACCGAGTACCCAAAGGGGATTAATGGGCTCTTCCATTTATTTGTCTTCCTAACAGCTGAACTGTTACAACTATTGACAGTCTTCAAACGGCCCCGCGCTGAACCCTGCCCGCCGCTCTGGGCTCCAATGGACATCTTCAGATCCCCAGACCCAAGGGGCAAGGGCTTCCCCCTGTGTGATGCCAAAACCAACAAAGCCCTGGGGATCAGGTAATGAAACTTCAGCTTTTCCCCCTTTGAGATTTATTTACTGGCAGCTGACAAGGGGCAAATTCAGCTCGAATTGTGTAGTCAAGGCCCTGTCAAGCCTTCAGAGGCACCCTTATGTCGAATCACCTTCCTGACTGGCATGTCGCTGAAAAGCCCTCGGCGCTGGTCCTTAACAGCTCCCCACATCACAAAGGACACTCCAGACAGATGCCTACATGGCATCCTGCAGCATTTTAAAAGAGAATTAGTGGTTTTAATTATGGTCGTCGGCTGAAAGGAAACCATGCAAGCTCCGCAGGAGACCTTTGATCAAACCCTTTTGCTAGCACAATGCCGCGGAACTGTGACTATTCCTAGCAAGGGGCCTTTTCTCGCTGAATGACTCACCAGTGATCTTTGAATGCAGACAAGTTCCTAGCCCTCCCTCTTCATTAGCGAGCATTTCTATACAGGCCCTATATAGTGCGCGGAGTCTAGGAGCTATACAATTGGGGGGAAAAAAGAATCCCTACAGATTCTGGCCTCTACTTAGGAAGTGCTGAAGGACTCTGAGTGACTTTATTCATTAAAACAGGTTGCTATTAATTAACTGTCATAATAAAATAAAGAGCCATTATTTGCATTTCTTAGTGCACTCCCTTTAGTAATATGTATAAAAGATGCTTGTAACAAAAATGAATTTATAAGGGGGAAAAAAACCCCTCAGAAGTCTCTCCTTTTTTTTTTCCTCTCCTGCCCTCCTCCCCCCCGCTCTTTTTTAAGGTTTAGGCAGCAGGAGTCTGACTAATTATTAGGCCCAGTTCTGCAAGAGAACAAATAGAGGTAAAACACAAATATGAAAGTAATTAGGAAAATGCAAAATCCTGTTTACTTGGCAACCGATTCATGCAACTGAGACTAACGAAGAGCAAATCAGCTTTGCTTGTTTGATAAACTTAAGGGTGCCACCTAAGAGGCGCTGATAAAAATTAAACTTCTGCCAGCATCCCTCAGCAGTGCCTTTCAGCGCACAGGCTTAGCGACATCCACGCCACCGCTCCCTCTAAAAGCACCAGCAAATCTAATTTGAACAGATTCACCGAGAGGAATTTGTAACTTCTGCCTCTGCTAAATGTTTTCACCTTTGCAGTCTGGCATCAGTGATATCTTCAAGCTGAACGTGCAACACCTCTGTGCACACACGCAGCCCTATTACACAAACCCGCAAATTCACAGGGATGCAGAGCGCGCAAATGGAGCGATTCCAACTGTATCCGCTTTCAGCCCCTAAAAAGCATCACGTTTCCAGTACGGTTCACACCTGGGAATGCGTTTGTCTGTGGGAAAATTCCTCCCTAGTTGGCATTGCTACTTACTCCAATATATTATGATACGTCACTCGAAGCAGGCTGCAGGCTTAGGTACTTTTGTGCAGCCCCTCTTTTCTCCCGAGTAGATAGTGGAATCCACAAAAGCTTCCAATTATTTCAAGACTATACTGCTAAGGAGGGGCATCTCATCAAGATAAAGAAAACCCTAGGCTCAGTATATTTGCTTGAATGGATTTTCAATAATGCAGGTAACAAAAGCATTCAAAAAACGGGATTCCTAATGCTTTTCTGCCGGGCTGAAGGACCGATTCGGAGAAGGGAGAAGAAAGGCTGCCCTGAGAAAGCCCCGTGCTGGAACGCGGGATATTCTCGCGCTCTCTACAAACACTTCTGCGGGAATTGACAAAATGGAAGGGGTTGAAGTGAGGCACGGCCGGCCTGAAATGTAGCCGATTGCGAAACAAAGAGCTCCGATGACAGCTCTGAAGCGCTCCGCTGCATCCTCTGCCTCCGCTTCGCGGCTGAAGCCCAGAACCCGCCGGCTTGGCTTTTACTGCCTGCTTCTCATCGGCCGTTCACTGGAGACCTGGGGGAAAATGCTCTGGAAATGATACTATGCAAAGGAAATCTGAACGAGGGGGAAAAAAAATAAGTTGTGTTCCCTTGTAGCCCAGAGATAGAGATTGCTATACAGAAGTTTGACTTTTATAGAGGGCATTTAGCGAAAGTCTGGCACTCAGAGCGGACAAGGAAAGACAGGGACATCCCTACTGCTAAAGGGACCTATGAGGACTAATAACCAAGCGAGCCCAAATCTGCAGGGAAGGGTCTCACAGCATTCAGACTGCAGGCCGATATTCACGGGACAGGGCATGTGGATGTGACCCCTTTCACTCTTCCCAGGGTGCCGTAACCTTCCAGGAGGCGCTTCTCCAACTCGAGCTTTACACGAGTACCTCTTTCTTCTGTAGAAGTTGTACTAACCCAAATGAAATCTTGGATAGGAGTAGTTTTTCTCCTGTAAAACAAAACAAAACAAAACAAAAAAACAGGCCAAGATCTCATGGAACTACAGCACTAAGTATGAGAAACTTGGCAATCCCACATTGCCACCTCTGGTACCTGCCAGGGGTGGCAGAGCAGAACATATCAAGAGGTGGCAGCAGCGGTGCTTTCCAATCCATGGATGAGCTGCTCTCCCGTCCCCTGTGCAGGACTCGGCACTGCGGCCCTTCTGCCAGCCCGGTGCCACTCAGGAGACGCCTCATCCTGCCCATGGCATCACGGGGTCTGCAAAGAAAACTCCCTTCCTGCTGTAGGAAACCTGGCATCCTATGCCAGGATAAACTTGATTGCGGGAGCGTATTGAAAAGCACATTCCCCACAAAGCAGGCGCGGCTGGAAGAGCTGGGTTTGCTTTACCCTCCCATTTCAGGACACTGTCACTCCATCCATCCCCACTCCGACTGTGCCTGCAGCAGCTCCCTACACAGGCGCAGCTGGGTGACACAGTGTCAGTAGAGCACCACAATACACCTGACCTGACAAAAACCTACCTGTCGTGTGGTGGTGTGGACCATAAAAACAAACAGGTAGACTACAGGCCGAAGAAAATGTCTGCAGGCTTTGTTGCTCAGTAACAAAATAGACATTTAAAGGATAAATGACATTTTTTCATCTATGAAGGACCCTGCATTTGTAAACTTACTTAAAATCTTCACAGCATTACAGGCTTTGTGGTCTTCTTCAAAAAGAAACCTCTCCTTTTTTAACCCAGTAGTTTACTTTGCAATGCATTTCCCCCATACAAAACAATACAAAATGTTCAGCTGCACAATGTCAAAGAACAAACAACAGTACGTTTCCACAAAGGTGATCATCGCACGCGATTTCTTCTTTGCTGTTATTTCTGTTGCTTTTTAAAGCCATTCTCACATTGTTCATGATTAATTCAATGTTATCGCCCAAAGTCAACATTTTGACGCTTCAGAAGGCCTGTCAAAACAGACTCTCTGCAGTTTGCTGCTTCAGATCTTTCTTTTTCATTTTCCTCAGCACCTGCAGCTCTTTCTTCAGGTGTTTTACAGCCCGCAGAATGTCCTGCCGCTGGGGATCGTCCTCTGCTTTCTCCGTGTACAGAAGGAAATGTTTCACAGTTTCAGAGAGCAGCGTCTCCTGATCCACATGCACCTCCTGGAGACGCAACATCCTTTCACAAGCTATTGCATAGTTTTTGTGCCAGTTTACTGGATGTTTTGGATGAGAGCTGATAATTTCTTTGTACAACTGTTAAAAGACAAAATAAAAATAAATAAATAAATAAATAAAAGGTTAATTAAACAAGGAGATAAACAGATCTTAAAGGTACTTCAAAACTGTCCATAGTTTTTAAAAGGACAGATGCCAAATCCAGAGTCAGGACGTTTCTGAAACTCCATGTTTGCCATGCAGTGTGCAACGGGGTGAATGTGACTCTCAGTAGGGGACGAAAATGGTTGTAAGCAAATAGCTGCTCTAGGAAATGATGCGTTACAGGTGGTCGAGATAACCGCACTGTACATCATGCACTTCCTCAGGAGAGATGTTACACTGGGCGAGGGAAAAGAGAAGAGAAGGGTGAGAGGGATCTGATCAACATGGACAAACACCTGAGGGGAGGATGGAGGGAGGAAGGGGCCAAACTCTGCTGGGTGGTGGCCAGTGCCAGGACAAGGGGCAGTGGGGACAAGGTGAAGCCCAGGCAGCTCCGTGTGGCCGTGAGGAAGAACTTGTTTGGTGTGAGGGTGCCCGAGCCCTGGCCCAGGCTGCCCAGGGAGGCTGCGGAGGCTCCTGCTCTGCAGATCTTCCCAAGGCGCCGGGATGCGCCCGGGTGCCCCGTGCTCTGGGTGTCCCTGCTGGAGCAGGGGCTGCGCTGGGGGATCTCCAGGGCTCCCTTCCAACCTCAGCCATTCTGTGGTACTAAAAGAGATCTCACTGCAGTGCCTGGAAAGACATTAACTCGCTATTTCAGAGGACCAGAATGGACTTAAGCAGCCTGTTGACTGCAGAGGGAATATTCATAAGCCCAACATCAGGCAGGTGCCTGTGAACTTCACTGAATAGAAGAGCAAAAATCACCACAAAGCAGGTAAGAATTTGAAGGAAAATCTATTCTGCCTGCTTGCCGAGGTATATTCTTCCTCTCTGCTGACACACACTGATCGTTTTGTGCATCCATTGGCATCTCTGGCAGTACAGTATTTCCAGAGATACCTACACTAGCCTATGTGTGTCATTCTTTGGTGTGAAATGCAGCAGAATTAATCTGCAGTGAGAAGACTGTCGGATTTTACACTTGCTGGCTCGGCTGCATGACTATATAATAACAGAGGGGACAAGTGCATAGAGGGGACGTCAGGACAAGCAATCTCTTGGCATGGGTTTGGAGCCCCACACAGACAACATAATTATAGCAGAAGCAGAGTGTTGACTGGTTAGCTCTTGGCATCCTCTGTGACCGAGAGGGCAAGTAGGGATGGATAAAATCCCTGAACAAATCTCGTTGAATCTGCTATGCTTCTGGTTTGGATGAATGAGGGAGAAGGCAGATTACAGGGCTGCCTACCTACGTGGAAACACCATGCTATTTCAATGGCATGGAGAAATTTAAAAATGGATGGAGATTGCAGGGAGAATTCATAACCAAAATATGTGGCTTACAGTGTAAGCGAATGTGTAAAGTTGTGATTTCGTTTCTGCAGCCACACTGGCAGTTTCTGCAAGGTCAAATATAAAGAAAGCCGTTTTCATCCTAGGAAAACAAGAAAAACATCCATTATAACAACTCCTTAGCCCTGCTAGGTCACATCACATGATTACACACATCTTCAACATGTCCATTAAGCTCTTTAATCACATGGCAGAGTACACAAGCTGTGTGTCTACTTAAGGCAGCAGCAAAACAAATTCCTTTCTGTGATGTATTTTCTCACTCTCTATCCAAACCACCCCCTGCTGCTTCAAGACACTCTGAGCAGAGCACATTCATTAAAAATAACCATCACTTTCCAGAAGGATCTATCAGAGGCAAAGCACTGCTGATCCCATTCTGCCAGTGTATTCCTTCTAAAGCTTGACATGTATAGATCCAATAGATAGATCCAAGCACATCCAACACACGGGTGAGGCATCAACGCCCACTTGGACACGTATTCCACGGCAGCGGGGTGGCAGCGCTCATTGAGTGCAGGGGGAAAGCCAAGGAGCATCACCTGGCTTGCCACATCTCCTCATTCGCAACAGCTTCCCAGGAGGAGGGCTTGAATCTAAACAGGAATTAAAATAAAATTCAGCCACGGGCTCCACGTCCCGGCATCGCGCCCGTTGCAAGGTCAGCCTGCCCCACTCTAGCAGCTACAAACCTCCCAGGCTGGAAAAGAAACCTGTCAGGAAGCCCCTGGCTCTGAGAGCAAGGAATTCAGCTGATCCCGAGTTCCCCATAAAACCTTCTTCTCCCTGGACAGGAGTCTATGGCACGTTATGTGTCTCACCACAGCCCAGCTATTCTCCAAGCGAGACAGATGCTTTTTACCATCCCTCCATTGCACCTAAAGTTCTGGATGTCTCATGGCCTCAATGTCTTTTTGGCCCCTGGCAACAGGGAAAACAGATCAAGTTTTAAAATCAGAATTGGACATGATTAGAAATGCCCTCTCTCTTTTAATACTATTAAGAATACCATAAGCAGGTGATTTCTACTACATATCTTCAAACACAAAAATTCTCACTAGAGCTGATGCTTAACTGTTTCAAAAGAAAAAAATCCTATTTCATTTTAAATTTGGCTGCAATCTTTTTAAGGATTTTCATCTGCACCTCCGAAACACCCTTAATCAGCAAGGTATTTAGTCACATTCACAAATCCAATGAATGCTACTGCTCTCATAAAGGCCTCATATCCCCTGGAAGAGAGTCAGTCTCAGGGCTCGTGCTAGAGCATCCTGCTGAATCAGGACCAGGAAGCTTGGAGAAACAAGGAGCAACCATTCTCGCTGGGGACAAGAAGGATGTTAAGAGCCCAAATCCTGACATGTCAGTGCTGTAAGTGGAACTGGATAAGCCCAAGCTGCACAAACCCCAGTGGTTGCTGCTCTACCAGCCCTAGAGGACAAGGCTTGGGTGCAGCAGCATTGCACTGGATGTGGTTATGCCGCTGGCAGAAGAATTAGGAGTGAAAAGGAGCAGAAATGTCTCTGTGTCTTGTACCTTCCATAGTCTTCTGTCCAGTTATAGAGATTTCTTGTAAGACGAATCCACTCTCCCGGGTCAAAGACAACTTCAGAAGGAACCAACTTTTCACAGGTTCCCCAGGGCCAAAGCGAGTAGCTCTTCTTCCAGGTTGAGTCTCCTTCGTGAAGGCCTATGCAGACAAACACTTCCTTCCTGCCAAAAAAAACCCACGGAGAGAGGAAACGTGAAGCCAGGCCACGGGCCGTGGGCGCAACGCACCGCGTCTCGGGCAGCAGAACCGCTCCATGTCCCCAGGTCATCCCGGGAACAGGTCTCTCTGCTCTGCTGCTGCAAAGACCCCAGCCCACACAGGAGGCACCACAAGAGGAGACGTCCTCTCCCCCAGATGGACCATGCAGGACTGCAAAAAACACTAAGGAGAAGCCCATTTTTTCCTGCAATGCTCTTTCACGTACCCACACTTGTAAGGTTCACCCTGGCTAGTCCAAACGCAGCTGCTATTCTTATGCATGCAAGTATCTAATCCTTTCTTCACTCCTACTAAGCTATTTTTATATGATGATTATTCTTGGAATACATTCATTCTATGCTAATAAGTTGGCCACAGTGCTCACGAAGGAGAAGCAGCAGCAATTTGCTCTCCAACCACAGTCATTTTGAGTACACAGGAACATTCCTTTTTTGGTGATGAATGGTTTCAACAGGAAAATAATAAAATGGCTAAGTGTTCGCTGCCAGCCACCTTCTTAGTTTGCCCTCCTCAAAAAAAAACAAACCAATCTCCAAACAAGAAGAAATCTTGTATCTGGATGGAGTTACTCCTGCATAGATATTTGCTTTAATTGCAAAAATAATCTCACCACCAGGGAGGAAGTCAGTGGAGAAAATTGGTCTTTTAGATGCAGTACCAAGCTGTTCCATAAACAATTTCAGGAAAAGAGGTTGAAGATTTTAGGAAAGCTGTTACATATGAAAGAAATGCTTACTGTTTATTTACTTTGAGGAAATGATGGAGATTAAAAACAAGTGTCCCATCGGGTAATACTCCTTCCACAGGATTCCACCGTTTTCCAGGAAAATGAATGCCAGGTAAATGCTTTGCCAGCTTTGGTAAATACCACTCATAAGTCATCATCTATCACCAAAACATTAGCAAAATTAAAACAACAATCAAAATTTTCATCAACTTTACATCCAGAAGTGTAGCAAGCTGTTTCTGCACGAGTAATGAGAAGAATTTGCTCACTGAGGGTCACCTCCCACTCTAGTAACTGTCTGGGATCTCACTGCCAGAGCAGAACACCAGTGGTTGCTGACTAGAGGCACAAAGTTTGAGGTGGAAAACGTAATAAAAGAGACAATCCAGGGTTCTGGTAAATTAAGTATCAGGCTGTGGGTTTTGGTTTTGCCAACCAGAAATAACTCCTCATTGCAAAGCCAAGCCCAGGCACCAATGTGGCAGCGTAAGGACAAGCTTTGGAAGGTTTCTTTTCTGTTTTTCAAACCTGTCTGTTGCCTCTTCCAATAGCACTTTTTGGACCTACCTCCTGGTCCACTAAGGTGATGTCTGGTCTCATCCCCTCGCAGTAATGAAGGTAACGAAGAGCATTCCCGGGTAAGTCTCCTCGCAGCAAGACCACTGCGCCCGTCGGCATCGAGGACAGCAGATTTCTTGCAAAGTTATCCACAACATAATTGCTGCTTTGATCACAAGCACTTGAAAAGAGGAGATGAAAAACAGTACATCTTAGGAATGGATGTTTGCATGGCTTTGAATTTCTTCAGAATAATTTTATGCAATAAGCAGCCACAAGAAAACAGAGCAAGCCCCTTGCCCCTGGTTAGATCTTGCTGAAGAGCACCACTGCTGAGAAGCCATGATATGGAAACGAAGCATTTAGACTGAAGCCCCTCAGAAAACAGCAACAGAGCTACTAGCCATGACTTTTGACAAAATTTGCACTCATTCCACCCCTTCATCTTAATTCTGACTTTTTCTTGGTATAAACCTACTGGATTATTAGTTGGAGCTGGAAGTGCCACTGTAATGTACTAAAAAAACCCAAATTCTTGTACAATCAAATAGCAGTAGATTTACATTACCTGAGATTAAACCCTTTTACACAATTGTGTGTGTGTTCACACTCCAGACAGCAGGTATGGACCCAAGAATGGGACATGACACAGGTGGCTCAAGGCAGATATGGACAGGACTTGGTGAGAAGGTGTGCACAGAGGAAGGTTTCATAGGAAGTCCATGTGCTCCACACTTCACCATCTGGCAAACCTCTCCACTGGCCCTACTACTACTCTGATACTCCAAACCACTGGCAAATCTTCAGCGTGGCTATGGGACAAGAATGCCTTATTCTAGCTCCTCATAAAGAAAAAGATAAAGAAAAATAAACCCCAGGGCACAGGGAAACCTGAGGCAAAGCAATGGAAATAGACAGTGAGTGTACAGGTCAAAGGCATTTTGTAAATCGGAGGAAAGAAAGCACAAATTTACAGCTTTCTTTTATGAAATATTTACATACCTTCCTTCAACCTGTAAGATACCTGGGTTTACAGCCCTGGTGATACCAAGGAAACCAAACAAGGCAGTAGGGTCTGCCGACTCCATTCCTGCAGACTGTGACCTCCCAAGCTTAGAAGGAAACCTTGATTTGTGCCATCAAGAGATCAAGGAATACCAGCGAGGGTGGAAAAGATGAGATCAGAGGGATTTCCTTTCCATAGCTCAGAGAGAGGCTATCAAATTGACCTGCTGTCACTCTGCTCCTGGCTGAGGACCAGCCTCGGAGCCTGCAACCCCCTCTACCCTGAACCATCAGCTCTACTGGCTTTGCCAGTGGAAGAACAACCCTCTATGCCCAGCTCTGTGCCTCTAAATGCCCTTTTCCTTTAGGGACAAGGATGGAAACTCAGGAAGCAGAAGGAGGGGGTTTAAAACCGCATCCGGACTGCACATCATCCCGCACGCTCCCAGGGTATCTGGTACCTGTAATTGGCCCAAATCTGAGAAGCAACAAGAGCGAGAGCCGGCAGCCACTCCAGGCAGGGCGGCACACGGCGGGTCTGCAGCGCGGCGCCCGCGAGTGGCACGAGCCGGGCGAGCCCCAGGCCGGCGAGCACGGCGACCACCGCGTTGCTCTGCATCCAGAACCGCTCCACCTAGGAACAGCACACGCGGAGCACGGGGTGTGTGAGGCACAGGCACGACACCCACGTTTGTTTATCACAGAATCCCAGAATGGCCGAGGTTGGAAGGGACCCCCAGGGATCCCCCAGCGCAGCCCCTGCTCCAGCAGGGACACCCAGAGCACAGGGCACCTGGGCGCATCCCGGCGCCTTGGGAAGATCTGCAGAGCAGGAGCCTCCGCAGCCTCCCTGGGCAGCCTGGGCCAGGGCTCGGGCACCCTCACACCAAACAAGTTCTTCCTCACGGCCACACGGAGCTGCCTGGGCTTCACCTTGTCCCCACTGCCCCTTGTCCTGGCACTGGCCACCACCCAGAAGAGTTTGGCCCCTTCCTCCCTCCATCCTCCCCTCAGGTGTTTGTCCATGTTGATCAGATCCCTCTCACCCTTCTCTTCTCCAGCCTAAACAGACCCCGCTCACTCAGTCTTTCCCCACATGAGAGATGCTCCAGTCCCTTAAGTGGACATGGAGATTTGTTTAGGATATGGTCCACATTTTCAGGACTTTAAGGGCAGGGATTAAAGAACGGGAACAGACAGAGGACGTCTTTTAATCACATTTTAATCACACATCACTTTTCCAAATTTGTAGAGATCCTATTTCTGCTTCCCCAGTTACATGTGGCTGTGTTTTTGCATCTTAGACAACACCAAGGGGATGACTTTTTCATGATTATGGGGAGTAATAGTGATCACCTAAGCCAGGACAAGGCTTCTTTCAAGAATTAACATCCCAGAGCAATTTTTGGAACGAAACTCACCACACCCATGAACAGAGGCTTTGTAATATCCAGATTCGCCCTCCAAGCAAAGAACAGGGAGTAAACACAGAGCATCCCAGTGAAGAGCCAGATCACGGGCAAGTTCTGCCGCTCTGTCCTATAAAAAAACAACAACAGGTTCTAGTGGCATGTTAAAAAGGAGGCAAAAGTTACACACACTTGAGAATAACTCTCAGCACATTTAATATTGGGAATTAGACTAGATCTATTCTGGCATAAGGCAGAAAAAGCACCCCAAGAGACCACCGTGCAGTCAGCAAGAAATTGCACACTGGAGCAAAGATGCTCCTCCAACTTACAGCAGGGCTGCACTTAAACAGGCCACGAGCGCCAGGGTGAGGACGGCAAGGGAGAGCTCCGACTTCATCTGCGTCAGCTGGAAACTGGGGAGAAATTAATGCACATCTGCCTCAAATCGCCCCGGGACCAAACTGAAGTGTCAAGAGAGGCAGGGAGTAAGCACAACGTAACATGTTCTATTCTCCTGCGATTAAGTCTGCTGGAAAGGGGAACAAACCTATTTTTAACATCAAAGTTTTAAATGAAAGAGTGGTGGGGAGAGGGAAACCAGCATTTTGACTTTTACAGGGAAGCCCGCTGAAAACAGGCACGTTGTCCCCGTGCCAGATTTGCATGGCCCTTTCCTCCCTCATCTCAGGGCCCGGGCTCTGCAAAAATCCAAGGTGGCTGCAGGAAAGCAGCTACCTGGACAAAAGCCACGGAGGGAGCGACGGATTTCTCTCAACTAGAAGGTGCAATCAAGATTTTACTCACACCAATATCTCTCTCATACTGGATCCTTTCTCTGCTTTGGCCTAGATGAAAAAAACAAAAGCAGTGAGAAACCCACACACTGACTGACACATCATTGGGGCAAGGAAAGTCCTCTCAGTTAGTCTGCAGTGCCCTGGGCACAAGGGGCTGCTCCACAACCCTCCAGCTGCATCTTATTCCATTGCAATACTTTCTTCCAGGTTCTTGTTTGCAATCATGCAAGGTTTTCTGGACATATTAGGAATATTTTACCAACTATGATCTCTGCTATATTGGCATCGTGGCAGCCTGGGAGCCCCTGCAAGAAAAGGGGCTGCTGAAGCTGTCGGAGCTGGCACTGAAACGCCAGCCTTGCCTGCTGCGTAGCAAAGGCAGGACGCAGTCACTGCATGCACAAGACACCATCTACCAGGGAGCAAAAGCCAATGATCCAGATGAATTAAATGATACGTAGAATCTTTTTTCTTTTTTCTTGTCCCAATGGTAAAATTTCCCATCCCTTTGCACTGAATTCCCTGAAGTCTTGAAGAAGTCTTGAGTGGCTGGAAGCCAAAAATTTACATTAGTGATAGAGAAGACAGATGCAACCCCATGCTCAGCACACAGCTCTATGTTAACTCCCTTATTTACAAGAGCAGTCAAAATAATTCTCACTAGAGGACTGCAAGACCCCCAAATCTATCATTCCTTTCAATAAAATATTACTGAGGGGTTAAGAGAAATTTTTTTTTTTTAAGGTAAAACAATAAAAACTGCTTGAGACCTTTTAAAATAGCTGAAGTTAATAAAAAGGTCATTTACCTTAAAAATATGAAATTGATGTTACCACCTTTCTCTAGCACAGCTTGCTCTGCGTTTTTTTATGCATACAAAACACCTGTGTGGTTCCCAATAAATAATATGACTCATCGCACAAAGGTAAGGAGAATGATTTCTGTGGTTTAGCAGCCCTCTGATCTACTCCCAGTAAACCCGGCAGATCAGCAGGTCAAAATCATGAGTTCTAAAGCAGCAGGGCTTTCAGTTTCTTCCCCTACAAGCTGTTAAACACCAATGGATAGAAAGGTTCTGCTACAGCATAACTTTAGGAGAAAGTCTGTTAGAAAATGACCTGTATTTACCAGACTGAACGTCCCATATTCTTCCCTGAGAAAGTGGGTCAAAAATCCTTGCAAAGTCGTCTGGTCTCCCCATGTCCAACGGGCTCGATTGAGGTAGGATGAGGCCGGCAGATAGAGATAAGGCAGCAAACCAGCCAAGAAGCATAAACCCAACTTCAGCAAATGGCCTAGGGACAATTCCTGCACCAAAATATGCCATATTGCATAACAATGTTTATTTGAGTTTAATCACGCTGGAACTTCAAGAACAGATAAAGAAAAAAAAACATCAAATATATTTACACAGAGCTGATCTCTCAATTTATAGTAAGTCCCTACAAAATGCTATGTTAAACCTTACGATTTTGTGGATTACCAGGAAACTGCATCAAACTGATCTCCTTTGCATGGCAGGGTGAAATTTAAGTGAAGCAAATAATATTAGCTAGGACTCATGAGTATCATACTCATTGCATCTTTCACATTTAAATCATGGCATGACATGCATAGATGGCTGAAGCACTGCAAGGCTGAGATAACCCACTTTGCAGTGATTAAGAGTTGGCTGGTATTCCATCTGGCAAAAAAAAAATGCCACTCTAGTACAACTATACACATCAGCACCATCATCAGGAGTCAGTTTGCCATTTACTTGATCATGATGGTTAAATGGCTAAATTGGATAGGCCAACTTTTGGGGTGGGATTTTCAAGACTGCCTAAGGGGTCAGGAAGACAAGACTTTCAAAGGGACTTCTGTGCCTAACTCCTTTAAGTGCTTTGGAAAATCCCACCCTAGAATATTGCACGCTTGCTTTATCGTCAGCCCCTGCCCTGTCAATCAAAGCACTTCCTCCAGTGTTTGGGGTTATGCGGGAGCAACACCATTCAGTGACAAGCTCCAAAGCAGAAAAAGTAGCTGGATAAAGTTGGCTGAAATTCCTCCAGCAAGAAGACTGCCCTTTCTGTTTTTTTTCCTTTTTTTTTCCCTGAAAGGCACCGCATTCAGTCAAATACTCGTGGTATTAGATGGCTTTCAGCAACAGCCACGACTGGTCTATCCGACGTGTTTCCAAGGAATGTGGCATGGGCACAGCACTCTGCTGCTGCTACTCACAGCCATCTCTCTGGGCTCCCCAGAAGGAAAAAGGCTCCATTGAAAGACCACAAATACCTTGCAGAAGTGCACATTGCCAAACGAAACACACAGTCAAAAGGGGTTGGGTGAGAGAAAGATTTTGGAGCAAGATTGTCTTGAGCTGCATTTCATCTATTGCAGCTCATGCACTTCAGCTTGGGCTTGGTTACAACCTGTACTGTTGTCCTAGTTGATTTATTGGGTTGCTGGTGAAGAAACAGAGGCAAACTGAAACAGCAGCAGCCTGAAGTGCTGTCACCTCCAGGGAGCAATGGGGAGGCAGAAAGGAGAGCTGGAGCTTTCTCGGGGCCCTTCGTAATGTCATTAGAGCAGGTGTGTCCTCCAGGTGCACCACCCTTTGCAGGACAAACCAGAGGGCCTCAGCGTATCTGCAGTCATCGGACACAGGGACCAAACGCAGGTCACTTGGGCAGACAAGGGCAGTGCCCAAGCTGTGAATGGGGCTTTGGAGCCTCGTGCAGAGAGAGGTAGAGCACCTTGGCGAGCAGGACATGCAAAGAGGCTGTTTTCACCTTGTTACCCAAATGAACAAGCTTAAACCTGCCTAAAGGATCCCAGCGGTTCAGCTGCACATCCTCCAAAGGGCATCTCTGGTGGGAACCCTTTTTTTCTGTGCTGCTTATTCAGGCTGCATCTTTGACTGTTGACAACCTCGTTAAGTTGCCTGATGCTGTGCAGTGAGAGCTGCCACCTTCCCGCAGCACCATGAGGGAGTCAACATGCAGAAACTCAGCTTGCATCCTGACAAATCCTACATGGTCAACTGGGGGAAGCAGCGCCCCAAGCATTTGTGCCCATGACATCTCACCAGCACCATCCTCTGCGTGTTTACCCACTTCCAGTTTGTGATACATCACGAACACACTCTTGTTTCCTACCCACCGACCAATTTTTAGCTGTCAGTGCCGTGACAGCTTACTCAGTACGTTGTAAAAGCCAGGACCTTGTTCATGCCATGCCAGGATGAATGGACAGGTCGCAGACTCTCACGGCAGTGACAGCTCCAAAGCCCCTAACACGTAATCTGCAGCTCTGATGTCAGACTGATGGACTGCAACTCCACTGCATTATGATTGACGAGTTTAGACAGACCATTAACTGTCACTGTTCATACATCAACACAAGAGCAACGCAAGCGCTTGGGAAGAACAACTGACTGCTTTAAAAGAAGCTACAAGAAGTGTGAGTGAGCAGGAGGTAAAATACCCACCTTTTTTTGGAAAAGCCGGAAGAGAACCCAAGGCACAATACAAATAATGTAAAGCACAATCGTGTGCTGATTGCACAAGCTCAGGCCGCAGCAAAAGGCACCGAGTTTGGCGATCTGGAAGGAAGGAAAAAGAACAATCAGAGTTTGCAAAAACATCCAGGAATCAGAACAGCTTCAACACAACCCAAAAAACCCTTGCATGAGAAAGGCAGATACGTGGCTGACCACTAGCCAGTTGTGACACACGCAGCACAAGTTATTTTAGATTATTTACAGAAAGACCTTATTTTCTCTACAGAAAACTTCAGAAATGTTAGGCTGAGCAGCTGACTAGCAAGTTCTCAGTGTAACCATGGATCGTAAGTAACATTATCCTGCTGTCATGATGTATGCTGTGAATTTGAACTTAGAGCAATCAGGCTTAACCGATATGAGGAACTGCTCAGGTCATGAGAAGTCGACCACTTTATGGACCTGTCATGTGCTGGGCAGACCCCTAGTAACTCCAGACGGTCCCACACTACGCAACCCATCACCTTTTCCTCCCTGCATGAACCATGAGAGCAGGAATTCGGTACTGCTGGGAAGAAGAAACTGCCAAGCTGTGGCTCCTTTTGGTTTTTTATTTTCCTCAGGAATAATACTCCCCAAATAATGGTATCATTATGTACAGAGACATCATTTCAAACAACGAAGAGGGATTTTTCCCCTTTCTCTGGCACAGAAGGTTAAAGCCAAGGCTACACAAGCTTCCTAGGCAAAGAAAACTTCATGCCACAGATCTCAGTAGCCTAAAAACTCCACTGAGAGCATCTCTAAAAGCGTTTTTGGGTAAAACAGGTAGTGCACCCAGGCTATGCTGCACGGTGCATATATTCCTGGCACCCATTCAGGATTATTCACTGCTGCCATGGCCAGCCCTGTCACTCACTCATAAAGGCCTCTTTCCATGTCCTACAGAAGCCCTTTGGGCACAAAAAGCCCTCCGAGCTCCAAACAGAATATGAGACTAAATTTTCAAGTGTGTTTGTGAGCTCTAAGTGCCCCCCTGAAAGGGTCTACAAGGAGGCCTGATTTCTGACATGGGTTGAGAACTTAAAACTTGGCCTCCTCAAGGTGTGGGAAGCAGGACACCCAACAAACCAACAGCCCTGAAACAAACTCATTAACTGCTTCCAAAAATTGCCTTTGAAAATCCTGTTGGAGACTGGGCAAATAAAGCATAGAAGCAGCTTGGAAAATGCCCAGCTCCACCTTTGCAGAGTTCAGGTATTATGGATCCTGGGACAGGACGGATCAGAAAATGAAACAAAAAAAAAAAAAAATCAGATGATAAAAGAAGCCATTTGGAGGCAACAATAAAACATGTTATTTGAGAGGTCACTAAGCTGAGGAAACTACCACTCTGGACTCCTGAAATACTAGGGTAGCCCCCAAAAAATTGTTTTATTCACACAATTCATAGAAGTCACAGCAAGCAAGGCTGCAAGAGAAGAGGTCACATATTCAGGCAAAAAGGAACAGAAGGAAGTGAGAGATCAGTGAGTATCATAAAATCAAAATATCATTGGAATGCATGGCCTTTATATAAAAAGTAGCATGAAATTTAAGGTCTCTGTTTCTAATAATGCCATTATTTTAGGGGCACATCTCATTTCAAAAGACTATGCATGAAAGTGCATGGAACTGGGGGAAAATTTGCTCCTTTTTTCGGTAGATACTTAGGTTTCCAACTGGATGAAAATCTGAGTAACATATAGCTGCAAACTCTCAGGAAATAGATCGGTCCTTAAACCAAAAGTTTGGATGCTCACAGCTTACTCTGAGTCTCTAATGCAGGAAAATAAACTTTGCCCAAAAGATTCAGGTGAAAATGACTTTGGTTTTCCTCTTTCCACTCCGTATGGGTGTAAAAGAGCAACAAAATCCCACCCACCAAGTTCCAACTCCTTTCCTAAAACAGCATGGACAGATTCTTAAAGGTTTAGTGCTTTTAAAACCCCAGGTAGGTCAGGAATGTGTGAGAAAAGGTACTGAACACAGCCCCAAAACGCGGCCTTGCCAGTTTGAAGGAAGCGAAATTGCTGCAGAGTGACGAAGAAACTGAACAGATGCGTGATAACTAATTGAAAGAAAATAAAGAACTATTCGCTTTGCTGGAGATGTTTTACCTTTGATCTCTCTTTCGCAGTGGATGCCTCCTCAAAATGCGCCGTGAGAGCCATAAGCAGCCCCACAAACAGATTGTTTAAGCTGAAAACCTCTGCCGCGATGGACCACTGCCATGTTAGGCGAGAAAATGAAAACACCCCCGCAGCAAGGATTCCTCCAGCATATGAGCCAGAAAGCCTGCAAACACAGATAACATGAAATCTTCTTTTCCAACAAAAAAAGCCTACTTTATTGTCCTTTTTTTTTTTTTTTTAAACATACTGTAGCAGCAGAAATTATGACTGCCACCCAGCACCCTTCCAAAACGTTATATGGTTAATATCTTCTTAATAATTTCCTTGCACAAAATTAAAATTAGGGAGCCCTCCTGTGTATCTGCAACCGCCGAATGCAGCCCCTCAATTCCAAATGGCTGGCGAGCCAGACAGGCTTGTTCTTTTGAGCACTTTGAGAACTTCCAATATTGAAGTCAGTGCGGAAACCCTGATGAGCAGTGACATCGTGGGTCATGGTATTCCCAGGAAGAGAGTCATGCCTTTAACGGGATACTCTTGGCTAGAGGAAACATGAGCAACGGCGCAACCTTCAATTCATCAGGACACTGAATGGGGGGGGATTAGAGCTATTTGTGATGGACAGCATTAGGAGAGCCTTCCCATAGGGGAGGTTTGAGTTTCTGGAGGGTTGGAGCGCCCAGGGCTCTGGAGCAAAATGCGGAGCTGGGAGTGAGGCCAAGGGGAAGAGAAAACAGGGGTCAGCTCCAGCAAGCAGGGGACGCAGAGGAGAGCGTGAAGCAGCCGCCGCTTGGACGTCTCCCCTGGCACAGCCGGGCCCTGCCGCAGGAATCGCCACATTTGTGACTCCCAGATCAGATTACGGGGCACGCTCCCCACGGAGCCGCTTTCCCAAATCGGCTGGATGCTGCTGCTGGCGCAGGGAGCCCACAAGGTGGGATTTAGCCCAAGAAATCTCTTACACTGGGTGTTCAAGAGCGGCTCTGGCTCCCTGGTTGTGTTAAGTTCCCTACAGACCCAGTTCTCTACTTTGAGCTCTGCCTAAACTTGGCTGCTTGGGAGAGCTGCTCCCTCGTGAAGCCACCTTGAAAAGAAGCCACAAAGGCTACCACAACTACACGTCTTACTCAAAGACACCTGAGCTGTGAGACTAAACCTAGCTTCACTGCAACACAGCGATTTTTTTTGTTAGAAGTTTCAACTGCTCCTCCCCATTACACACACTTAGACTTTCCATTTTCAGATAAAGATATTTTCAAAAATATCTTTTGTTTCCAAGGAGGTTTAAAACAAAATTATTACCCACTCACCAACATGTTCATCAAGCAAGCTCTCTGTACAAGATGCTGCTAAATATGGACAATATCCTCTGCCATCACCAGAGCAAATTCCCAGGGCTATTCAGCTTGGCTGGCAGTGCCCATCAGGGACTGTGAGCACTGGATACCCAACTACCCCACTGAGATTTGCTTATAGGGTTCTTCACATGTCATAACTTTGAGATAAATGAAGACCAAAATATCAAAACCTCTAGCTGCTGTGAACAAAAATGAGGAAGGAGTTGGTAGAATGCTCCCTAGAAAGGACTCTCCTCCTTGGTTGCCTTTGTCTTTTCTATTTCTCTGGAACATCCTAAGCAGGGGGTAGTCTTTCAAGCACACTAAAAAGCCAACATAACACAGGAGATGTTATAGAAAGACCTGTGCAGTTTGGATTGGAATTTTTAGTCCATTAAAAAATAGGAGGCAGAGTTTATGGGGAAGAGAGGATGGCATAAAGACTTGGGAAGACCAGGTCTCCGTTCCCCATTCTGCCACTTCACACGTTGGGTGGCCTGGGATAAGCTGCTTCCTTGCTGCTGGCCCAGTCACCTCCTTCCACAAAACAGGACTGTTTTTTTGAAAAATGTTTTCAGATCTGCAGCTGCCAAGGAACAGTGGATGGTGAGAAGCAAGGCAGATGATTAATACTGGACAACAATCAATCAACTACCAGACATTCATATCCAACCCAAATCATGCAGATATTATTTGCTGGCAGGGATGAAACTCAAATGTAAACTCTAAATCATTCACAAAGCTGTTTTTATTTGTAGTAGGAGCAGCAGATCAGGATGTTGCAAGGGGATCTCTCCGAAGTCCAGGTGACAGAGCAAGGAAGTCTCAAGATGACAAAGTGTTTCAGCATCAAAACTGTTGGCAGGGATCTTGTAAATCAACAGGAGGGAAAACGTTTGAAAATTCCCAAATGACACCCAGTGCAACTGTTCTGGACCAAATCTGATCCTGTGAAGGATCTTAGAAACTCTGAAGAAAGCAGACACAGAATCTTTTAAGAAAAAAAAAGAAAAAAGAAAAAAGTGAAACTTTGAAGTATCTTCTGTCGCCAGCTAAAATGCCTGGGTGTGCTGGACTGACCGTTCCTCACCCTGTCATAGAGGACATTCCAACTCAGCCCTGTCACTCACACCTTTCTACCCAGTAATTGGATCATAGGATTATTTCTTCGTGGTGAACACTAACATGCCTATAAGATGAGCTGTTACATCCTTATCTAAGTCCACAGGGCAGCGAGGCCTCGTTTCAAGGGGAAGCTCCAGGTCTGCAGGCGAGGGTGCTAAGAAGCGCAGTGTGGATTGCTCCGTCAGTCCCTTTCCTCCCCTCTTACTACAAGGGCTGTGAGACCAACACGGCATTGGAGAATCAACATTTGTCATAAAAACCCACCTCTGCTGACTGCAAGTTGTGCTTTGTGGGGCTTCCAGGCCCAGTGATTCAATTCTGGTGTAGCTGGCTGTCCCATCAGAACAGGTAACACAGCCTAAGAAATTCAGTCATTAAAGTGACGATTAATACACCAATGGTCCCTCAGAATTTGCTCATGTCTCCCTCATGTTTCACTGATGCTCACTAATGTCTCACCAATGCAGCAGACTGTAGCTCTCCTCTGATGCAGCAACATCCCTACTGTTCAACTCTGAGTCTTGGCAAGAAATTCTTCAGATCAGACCCTATTGCTATTAAAAAAAAAACCTCAAACAAACAAACAAACAAACAAAAGAAACCCAAGAGAATCCCCAAAACAGTGGCCTTGAGAACTCAGATTTTACTTTACTCCTCTCTTTAAGCAGAAAGATGCAGAACTTGAATAGAAAAATGAAAGACAGGGGGAGTTTTCAGGACTTAACACAACTTGTGGCTCCCTCTCCTAAAGGAAAATAGCAGGGAATAGAAGCCAGGCCATGTATACTTAAAAAAACAAAGGAAGGAAAGATCCCCTAAACTCAAATATAACTGCATAACATCCCTAAGGTTTGACTAAAACCTTTTAACAGCCGCACTGAGAGCACAAACTATAGTTATAAAGGAACCCCAACTTTCCAAATCCCTTTGGGATTGTTGCAGGGAAATAAAGGAGCAAAGGTAACACAACTTTTCCTAACATTTTTTGGATGAAAAACAGTGCTCGAGACAAACCTCCCCGTCACTTACCAATTCCTTCCTGGAGGAAGGCTCAGAAAAGTCTCCAGTGTATTACCAGAGCTCAAATGAGATTAAAGAACTCCTTTCTTCTCGATAGAAAGCCTCAAACCCATGACTCAAGTTTTATGAAATAAAGAAGGCTTAAACAAAAGCTACTAAACACAAAGCTTAAAGATTTATTGCAACCATGGGGGGCAGGGGACATCTCTGCTCGCTGTAGGGTCCCCAAGCACTGCAAAGTGCGGATGCAGAACCAACTAGGGGCTAGAGCTATTTCTTGCACAAAGAACCGACATTATCTTTTGTTTCCTGCTCTGAAACTCATAGCTGCAGATCTGGAACAGACTCCAGTTTCATAATTAGAACCAAGCCATGACACACTTCACTGTCCAAGCCCACCTCCTCCTTCAGATCACAGCTGGCTACGCAAGCAGGGTGTCAAGGACCTCAGCAGAGAGCCCACATCTGTGTTGCAGGAAGAAAAGTATCTTGTCTTGCCCAAGAAAAGTCACAGCTACTTTGAGTAAGAGGGAATAAGGCAGGTTGTCCAGGTGCTCTACCAGAGGCAGCTGAGTTTGCACTGCTCTTTTTTGTTTTCACACCTTCTATCCAAAAGTGAAACTCTTGGAGAAGTTATGCTGAACTCTTGAACATGCTCAGTTCCTACATGGATAGTGGATGCTGAAAGTTAACTGAAACGTGTAGCATCCATCCTGAAGACCATCAGGACACCAGCATGGGAAATGATGGACTTAAAAGGTTTACTGACTCAAAAGGAAATACTCTGGGAAGAGGAAGCAATGTGAGCAGGTATCCTAAGATGAGGGGAAAGAAAATCAAGCAGTTCTACCCAATGCATCAGCAAAGTAGATGACAGCAGTAGAAATGACTGCTGTACAGCTGTATCAGCATGGTGCTGGGTCCACTAAACCAGATCTGCTGAGAGGCTGCCCTAATGTGGTTATCCTGCTCATTTGGATTCAAAAGAGGAGCTTCACATACCATTACACTGTGTAATCTGACAGCCCTTTGGACTTCTCTAAAACAGTGTGGCACTGCATTGTGGCACCACTGCCTCGGTGCCAAGAGGCTGTTTATCCTCATAAAATCAGACAGTGTCCAAGGAGGTGACAAGGCAGTTCAGTCAGAGACAACACAGATTAGCCACGGACAACGTTCTGGGCCAAAGATCAATTTTTAAGTGGAAAAGATACTTGCAGCCATTTGGGCACATAAGGTAGAAAGACCGGAAAGACGAGCCCCAAAGTTGAGGATTAAATATGGAATGAAAGAACTGAAAGACCAAAGAGATGAGAGACTTTAACCTGAGGACAAGAAGCTTGAAACTGTTGGAGAAACAGAGGGTGGAAGCACCTGCAAAGCAGGACAGTGCTGTGCGCAACTGAGGTGCTCTTAGCTACAACGTGTTGTGTAAGAAAGAGCAAGTAGGACACCGGGAAGTCAGAAGAAAAGTCCTGCTTTAGCTACAGGAACAGACAATATTTTAGTGGTCAAGACAGAATAGGCCCCAGGTGGCCTCATGTAAAAGCAACTTCTGGTAGGGCTTCACTTCTGTGAAGTGGGGAAATAATATTAAGGAGAATAGAAGCGGGCTCACCCAAGACCAGTGCATTACCCCCAAATCTTATCAATTATTATAACATAGCCCACTGAAACTAGA